GGGAATTCTGGGAGTTGAAGTCCACACAGCTTAAAGTTGCCAAGGTTGAGAAACACTGCACCAGACATTCCAAGCATTTTAGCATAAGGGCTGAAAGCTTCCCATTTAAATTCCGAGCTTTCTATTTAACTTTTTTTTTAATAAAGAGGATGTTCAAAAAATTAAATTGAGGGAGGTCAGGAGCACAATGGGAATCAAAGGAAAAGTCTGCAGTCACAATATCACTCGTGAACACCATTTCACCTTTGTTTCCATGGCTTCTGGTGACGTCATGAATACATCCATGTAATTTTCATAGCAACAGTACAGATACGGTTTGCTATTGCCATCTTCCAGGATGCTTTTCCCAACTCCCAGTCTAACCTATAATTTTTATTTTATTTATTTATTAAATTTGTACGCCGCCCATCTCCCCCAACGGGTGACTCTGGGCGGCTCACAATTAAAACAAAACCCACAAACAATTAAAAAATAAATACACATTAATGAATTAAAATTGATTAAGCAATTAAAAGGTCAAGCTGTAACAGTGTTTGGTGGTGGTGTAATGGTGATTTCCCATCTGAGTATTCCTCTGCTTAGCTTTCAAGCCCAGACAAGTTAGCAATAGGTCCTTGGCCCGACTGGTGGAAAAAGACAATAAAATTCTTGTCCAGGTTCTTGATTAATATGATGTAAAACCACAGAGTTGGATGGGCCCAGTAAAACCATTGAGCCAATTCTTTGCCCAGCAAAGGAATCCAAATTAAATCATCCCCAACAAATACCTATTCAGTCCCTTCTTGAAGACATCCAATGTTCACCAACTGGTTAGCTCAGCAGTTTCACTGAATTAGTTTTACTGTGAAAGAGTTACCAGAATCTCCCTTTCCATAACTGTTCATTGGGGGACAGGCAAGAGCTACAGGACTTTTGGAGGACTAAGTGAAGCCTGTCTTAGGACTTCCATTACGCTCAGGAGGGAGATTTTAAATGTTACTAAAGGTTAGAAAAATTCAATGGAACTCGTTACCCAGAGAGATGGCTCCCTGTCTTCGAATGTGTTCAAGGAGAGGCCAGGCAGAAATTTACCTGGGATGTTTTCATCTGGATTCTTGAATAAAGTTTGACTTGAAGGCCTAAATAGCCCTTTCTAGCTCCAATTCTATTATTGTAATTTCTGAGGGGGTTGGCAGAATATGGACATCTATCTTCTGGGGATGCTTTAATCTGGGTTGGTCTCTTAAACAGGGGACTAAAAGGCCTCAAAGACCCAACTTTACATTGCAAGGATAAAGTTGTTATTGTTACGATGGCTGGTGTGGGTCCAATGACTGCCC